ATCAGTGTTTGGAAATCTTTGTAATTAAAGGGGCTCTACCTAAGATTAGTTAATCTGGAAATTACATAACCGCTGTTAGTCGCCTTTTACGGCAAGCATGCGTTGCTGAAAACCTATTCTACCCCGGATCTTCACGGGTCAGTATTTTCTTGTATATATTGAGATATACTACTTAAAAGAAGTTAAGGGCCACCCTATTCTTTCATGAAACTAAAGTTGATTTGTCATAGCATTACAGTGTGTAAGGGTATGTTGCGTTATTTGTTTTCATTAGTATATTAAAAAGTGATTGCTTGGTTCAAGCTTGTGGGGTAATTTTAGTGTAATCAGTTTCATCTGCCATGTTGTTAGACTTGCACAAGTCTCTAAGTCAATAATTATTAGATCATTATTTCTAGATTATGTTACTTATAAGAACAAGTTGTGCCTGGAGTCATGTGAGACTGGAGTCCTTATCTAGACTTGCCTATTAGGAAGATAGAATCACTACATATACATGGACTTTTCTTTCAGTACAGCCTTGGAGCAAGGCTACCATGTTGTATATATGTCATGTAGTCCACAGACTGCAGGTGTACATTTCATCAGCTCCAGTTATAGCGTGTCATTTAGCAGCAACGACGTCATTGTCATCACTCCTGTCAACACCTTCGTACAGGGACAGAAGATGCTATAAACATGCATTATTTATACAAGCAGGCATTCGGATCTTCGTATATACATGTCAGCAGTCTGCTGTTGGCAGCGTATTTCACATGGCTGTTTGCCAAAAAATAATTGAGTCATTGTGAGAATTTTGGGTAATTGTTTTCACATGTAATCTTGTTTATTTTATGGATAGTTTCACAAAATGGGTACAAATGTTTCAGAAGATACTTGATGATGCATTTTATTGCTGAAATATTGCCGAGTACGTCATAAAAAAACAAAGAAACATTTTTTAAATTTTGTGTCATTATTCTCATGGGCAGAGCCTTCGGTAATCGCTTTTGACAATAGCATCACAGCAAACGATAAAAACAAGCAATCTGTAATTCAGTATAATGCTAGCATAATAATGGAGAATAACCAGTGAGATATTCACTTTATTTCAAAGATTGATAACCTTTCAAATGTTGTCAGTGTTTTATAACATGTTCTAGAGTTGGGCAATTGAACTAACGTTTCTTCTCACGAGCATACACTTGAAATCAAGCGCCTGTCAATCACACAACTTGTTTGTAGCTCTTTGACTAGTATGTTCAATCAGGATAAGTATATTTAATGTCAAGTTTTTCAAACAGTTCTTAGATTCACCATTATTATATATCTTTGTGCCCTTTCGATTGTTAATTCTGACTTAGGCTCAGCCTTCCTGACAAGAATAGAGATATACAATGCCTGATAATTAAATCTACAAGTTTGTCATGTCAATTTCCCATGTCAATATCGCCAATAAGTCCATCCGGAGTTTGAGATGACACACAATACAGTTTTATTGATCACATGTATGGTTCTAATTACGAGAGTTAAGCCTAGGAGTGGCCATTGTCCTAAAAGTGTCCCTTCACCTGCAGTGACCCTAGCTTGACCACAGCAGCGCCCACCGCTCACAAATCAATTTCCCTACAACTTAAAGACCAGCAGTAAATACCAAATCTACAAACAGGCCAAGAGGGTAAATACAAGACACACATGTATGTCAGTTCAGCCTTGTGAGTTACGTTTCCTATGTTAAGAATCATACCAACTCCGCATCTGCATTCTGAAAATGTTGCCAGATCCGTACACGAATGAAACCGACTATGTGGAAATGGGTAACACCTCAATAACAATGTTAGCCCATGGTCAGTGTGGCTATTGTATTGTTGGACGTGGTCACTTCTAAAGAGGGGCTGTGAGATCTGACGATGAGAGCGTGTTATCTTAGAGGAACAAAACGAGCTGTCTTCATGTGGTTGTTGTCTCCGCGGGTTTGTCAACAAAGCTGATAGAGGTCGAGGACTGTGTTGTATTAGCTGAAAAAGATAAAGTACGGGTTGTACATAAGTGTTGTATTTATGGGCGACCCAGACCGACAGGAGATACCTGACAGACTGGACAAGGTTGACAAAGGGTTGGACAGTATAAGTGACCTCGGGGACATGTCATCTGCCGTGCCGCCTTGTGGGCCGGGTTTTCTTATTACAATTTTGGGCAATTTTAGCTCAATGTATAATATTCGATTTGATGATTATTGACATTATGAATAATTGGTCCATGTTATATATGTGTTTGAATGCTCTCATATATCTATCGGACCCGTGAAGATTCCGAGGTAGAATAGGTCTTCAGCAACCCTTACTTGCCGTAAAAGGCGACTATGCTGTCATAAAAGGTGACCGATGGGATTGGGTGGTCGGGCTCGCTGACTTGGTTGATACATGTCATCAATCCCAATTGCATGGATCGATGCTCATGATGTCAATCACTGGATTGTCTGGTCCAGACTCGATTATTTTACAGACCGCCGTCATATAGCTGTAATATTGCTGAGTGCGGCGTTAAACAACAAACAAACAAACAAATCATATATCTATCGACATGATCAAGGTGGTGTTTACCGGTATTTTGTCAATTTAGAAGATGGTTTATAAGGGGGCAAGATTTTATTGGTATTATAAGTCCCTGTAGGTATTCAAGGACGGAATATGTCTCCAGTACAACATACTTGAGGTCTGATTTAACCCGGAAATCAGTACATTCAGAACTAAATTTTTAAATCAGTAAATAATACACAAGATCAATAAATAATCAATAAATTATTTTGAAACAAACAGTTTCAGCTTTACAATCAAACAATTGAATACAATGAGACAAGTAAGTTTGTTTGTTGTTTAACGCTGCACTCAGCAATATTCCAGCTATATGACGGTGGTCTGTAAATATTTGAGTCTGGACCAGTGTTGACATCATGAGCATCGATCCACGCAATTGGGATCGATGACATGCATCAACCAAGTCAGAGAGCCTGACCACCCGATCCCATTAGTCGCCTTTTACGACAAGCATAGTCACCTTTTACGGCAAGCATGGGTTGCTGAAGACCTATTCTACCCCAGATCTTCACGGGTCTCTCTCTTTGGGACATATTGACAACAACAACAAAATATTATCTAAAAATAATTATTTTCTTTCATTGTGGTGTCATTTTCCTGCCAACAGGCAATCTAGGAGGATTTATCAAGAATAAGGGTGCATCATTACTGTTGAATACTGACAAAAAAAACCTAAACCTTTATTTACACAAAATAATTTTGCTACAATTATTTTTGGGTGGGACATTTCACATAGGAAGTGCTCAGGGTTGAAAGGCAGCTGTCAAAGTCGTTTTTACTTCACTTGGTAATTTTGACATTATGTTTCAATTTATTTTTTTCTTCAAACACAAAGCAGGTTTTCAATGACATTATTCTACAATAATGAGCACAAAGTGGTTACATAGTTGACATTTGAAGCCCCGTAATTCTCAGCTATGCTTCATCGAATTGACAGATCATCTTCACTGTTGCAGTGGATGGGTTTATGAGAATCATGAATTATGAATCAAATTATCATTGAACTGACGTGATGCCCAACCAAGTGGAATAACCTCACTATAAGATCATTTTGATAGGAGGACCTCACAAATTCCGTGGATTTCCGAGGCACAATTATGTGATGAAAGCGACATGACTTTCAATTTTGGTAGCAACCTTTGTAGTCAAATATTTGAAACTATGAGGAAAATGTTAGATTGAAGACTCTTGCAATTTACATATGTGTTGGGTGTGATTGGCAGCAGTGAAATGTACAAGCATTCAGGTATGTGTTTGTTGTTCGTAACAAGTTTCAGATCTTCACAGGTACGTCGGTTTCAAAGTTTGGGGCTCGCGTTTTGATTTAAATTAAAATTGAAAAAGAACAACCATTTATCACATTTTCCATGCCTGCTAAACATTTTCATCTTATCGTTGAGGTATCTGAATTGGTTGCGCATTAGATTAAATCCTTCAGTTGAGTGTTGATGTGAGGTATTTCACGCTGATCATCGTAGATTTCTGCCATGTTACATGACACCTGCTACACACATGTGTACATTGCACTCAGCGACATGTCGATTTCAAAGTACACTATTTTATGGTGTTTAAATGTGGATAATACGGGGTTGGTTGCTATCAGGAACAATGATTATGCCCTTGAACGTGCAATCAACTGAAGTTGTAAATAAATGTATCTTATTCACAGGTGTGTGATTTATATTGAGCGAGCTATATATGACTGGGAGCCGTTGCATTTACGCATTGTTTGGAATATGCACTGTTGTTATGGCGATACAAGATCAGATTCCCATGTACACATTAATGTACATGATGTAGGTAGTCTATTGATTGTAATGCACTGATTTGATACACTGTGTTGCATTGTGTCTCTGGGTTGACAGGACATGGATGTAGTGGGTGATCTGGTGTGTGTCTCGATACAGCTGTAGTTGATGATGTGGTTTTGATTGAGTTAATGAACTTAACATGAAATCAGCATGAAATTACAACTTCTGGGATGCTGGGAGGATATTAATGAGTTTTAAATGTCAATGTTAATGCTCGTCTTGTTTATAACAGACCACTCATTTGGTAAAGAATCCATGATTTGATATTGTTGTTAAAAAACTTTAAATAGCGTCTCAGTCATTCAATTTATGACTGCTATCTATAATACTTGGTTATCCTTCAAGCCTGTATTCTCCTGTTCTTTTCTGAGCTGGGATATACTTTCTATTTGAAACTGATATCTAGGTGTTGAACAAAATGAAACCGTTTTAAATTATTTTTAGTTTACAGCATTGGTTGATTTTATACATAAATGTGCTTTCTTCCTTCTCCTTAGAAGAAAGCTGTCAGGTCAAACCTTTTTGTCTGATTTCAACTCTCAATGTATATAATTTCTTAGAATCAGTGTAATCAAATCTTACACAATAGTTAATTTTTGTCCTTATCTTTCAGCCATGCAGTAAAACATAAAGATGGCTGCCCACAGTCATTCAGGGTCAGAACTTTGTCTCCATGATGATGACCTCTCAAGCCACCCAAGTCAGGATGACGTATACAGTCCCCTTTCCAACTATTCCACATATTCGCACGAGGTCAAGTACATCTTTGAACCAATACCAGACGACAGTGGAGAGTCCGATTACACCATCATCCCACCCAGGAACAAGTCGGCATCGCAGCAACAACTCATGACGCAGTCCATGTCGCATCTGTCACAGCATTCGACACCAAGGACGTTATCATCGCAGCAGCGCACGTCATCGTCGTCACAGCTGTATCGTAGGACGTATAGCACGTCTTCTTGCCATTCTGATCATTCCAATAAAGAAAACAGTGCCCCCTTGGACGTCAGCCATTCCGTGTACCCATACCCTTACCCCCATGAAGATGTTCGTAGAAAAACTTGGTCCCCCCTAGCACTCAAGTACAGCATTGCTAGCGGTATGCAATCCATGCGTAGTTGCCATAGCAACACAAATTTGGAAGTTGATATGCAGTTGGACAATATTTACGAAGACTGCGACCGAGGACCACCAAAACTTGCACCATTGAGTGGAGTGTTTCATTCACCACTGGTGAGTAATGTCCCTTTGTTTTTATGCATTTAGAGTAGTCTCCCTTCAGGATGGGAATTTATTTTGTTGCTAAGTGGGGAAAATGGGAATAATTATTTTATCTTACAACAAAGTTTTATTTTTGCACATTGATTTTCAGGAATAATGACAGATTTTCATTAGCAGAAGCTAGGGGTGTCACAATAAATCAAAATATCGATATATTGCTATTGGTAAGCACTTAAAGTCAATAAATCGATTGTTAAATCAGTTTCCAATCAATAGTGTTGATTTCAATTAGGAATATCAATAGTTTCGATTTTACATGCAATGATGTTCAAATTTGTTTTTCTTTTGTTCATGAGTGGTAGTAATTTACTCATGGTAATGTTGAAGTTTCTTTTTCTTAGATTATTAGGGTAAAGAAGAAAAAAAATCAGTCATATCTCAAACTTTACTTTTTATTTGTTGTTATGGTTATCAAATTCAGTGCCAAGGTTTAATTCAACTCTAAAATCCATCTAAAATGATACACTGAAAACTATTGATATTTATCGCAATGGTTGCTTGCAATATCAATAGTTATCGCAGTAGTTGCTTTTGATATCAATAGTTATTGCAATAGTGATTTCCAGACCAATAGTCAACCCTACCAGAACCATATAGTTCTAATATTGTTCCATTTATTTAGCAAAGGCATGACATGGATACAAACCTGGTAATAATAGCTTCAAGTTATTTTATACGGAATTAAAAATTCACATGTCATTTCGGAAAATCTGCAAGCAGAATTGATAACATCACATTATCTTTCATGTAGTTCTTGTTATAGAAACGATCCTTATTATAAAAGATCCTCATAAAACTTCAATTTCCTCAGGCATATGATATGATTTTATGGAAAAATACATGAAAAAATGATTTTTGGTCTATTTGTGGGTTAAATAATGGTAGACTTGAAAGAAGACTGAAGTACCAGAGTATGAATATGATTTAAACATTGATAATAGGGTTAGAACGAAGTCACAGGTGGCCTATTGGTGCAGTAGGTCAGGAACTAGCCCTCTATGCTAGTCACACTTGGCTAGTGTTGTATACAGAATCGTTTATTTGCTTGACTTGTCCCCATCTCTTTGTCAATTGGCATTCATATCCAAGAGCAGTGTCCATTAGTACCAGGATTAGGTGTTTGTTGTTGAAGTAGTGGTAGGGCTGGGTGCGATTTGTCTGCTGCGAACCTTTATTGACTTCGTATTTGTATAGAGGGATATAACTGTGTTATATTGTGGAAGATTGGTTGTTAAAATTGGTGTTAGATGTTTGAAATATTTTGTGCGAAGGAATTCCATTGATAACATTTAAGGCTAATGTCGAATAGGGATATTTCTGATTTGAATTTTTTTTATTCATGTATATTGTAAGATAGGTAATGTGTTAGGATAGGAATTTGATAACAAATTCAGAGGATTAAGAGATTCTTTGATCTCTGTGTAAATCAGGATGAACGATGACCTAGTTCTCTCTATTGAGTCCAGGGGCTCTTAGTATTAAATTTGGGGGGGACCAAAACATGATCATGCGATATGCGGTATCCTTCACTTGATTTCCAAAAATTCTACTGATGTCATATAATTGCACATGCGGGGGCACAGGTGGCCCAGTAATCTAAGGCGCCGCAATTCGCTGTGACACTCCAGAAACCTATGATGGTGGGTTCGAATCCCGGTTCGCCCCGATTATGTTTCTAGGTTTGTCAGCACCATACCCACCGAAGTGATAAACGTCCGAGACCTGCATCACTTGGGGCTTTCCTCCCATATTAAGCTGACACGCCGTGATATAACTTGAATACTGTTAAAAGCGGCGTTAAACCCAAACTTACTCACTCACTCATTGCACATGCCCAGGGCCTCATTCCTCAGGGTGATCTTAGTGCTATGACGATCGTAACTCACATACTTACGGTAGTCGTAGCGCTAAGATCGCTTTGTGGAACGGGTCCCAGAAGCCTAAGCCAACTTGATGGTGATTTCAGTGTGAGATTGGTGAAAATCTTTGAGTGTTTCTCACTTCAATACAATTGTTTATATATTATGAAATCTACTAATTTTGATAAATTTAATGATTCAAACAGCCCTAGTTTTTTTGGCGTCGCAGTGTAAATTATTTACAGCTCTTTAGCATCCATTCTCCATTTGTATAACAGTTTGGAATGATTTGTTTCGCATAAAACCCTGTGGCTATTCAGTTTGTGCTATCGTAGAGGAGTGGTGTTCTTTATTGTTTAGGAAGTGCATCATATTTGGTTCACCCACAGTTGTTATCAAAGTAGTCTGACATGTTTTCGATCATGTTGGATTCATCTTTGCGTGACCTTGTAGTGACCAAGGTAAGATTGTAAGATTGTCGTTATCAGTATCACAACTTTGTCATGGTGACCCTCAGAAATAAATGTTGTTGGCCAGACCAACCAGGTGTTGGGAACCGTGCTGTGGTCGTGCTGGGACACACAATCAACCTGGGCTCTGTCCCACAAAGTGGTTTTAGCACTGAGACCATTGTAAGCCCATGTTAAAGTATGGGAGTTATGATCACCTTAACGCTAAGATCTCTTTGTGGAGCGGCACCCTGGTGACAAGACATTGTCAAATCTGAAGCTGAATCTTATGGAGAGCATTGGATTCTGGGCATCTATCTTAACCCCAGATTCACATCAGTTAATGGTGATCAGAAAACTTGGGATGGTTGGTGTAGAAACATTCAAGAAGTATTGTCAGTTACAGAAAGTGATGTCTTTAATGTAGTATTTGATTGAGAGTGTGGAGGGAATGTATTGTAGCATATTCATGGAACAGTTATCTCCCTTTGACTGCATTTCCCAATATGACATGATGATTGAGATTGTATGAGTGCTTCTTTCATTTCCAACCTTTCCATGTCCATACCAATAGTTTTTAAGTCCTGACATAACTTTTTGTTCTTGCACAGAATTTAGTTGTGTTGGAGTTTTTATTTTCAGTTTCATTTCGTGAACTTTGAATATGTTCTCCAAAGTATGAATATGTGTAATATATTGTTTCCCATCACTGAAGTAATCTTCTGGCATTTGTGCTTGAAATTATGTCTCAGATATATTGTTTATGCTAATATGAATGAATTTAGTGTTGGTTATTTGAACATTTGAGGAGTTTATTCAAAATCTGAAATTGCTAGTGTGAAAGAATGTAGTACACTAGACTAACATCTAGTCTCTGAAATGAACATATCGTACAGAAAAAACAGTTGTTCAGTTATCTTAATAAAAATATAATAAAAGGGAGCCCAGTGACTCTCTTCATTTGCCTGATACTGCAGTAATCTAGACTTGCCAAACATTATAGACTTGCATGGGCTGTATTTGATATATATTTGTATCAGGGTCTGTAAGACAGACTAGTAGTACACCTCAGTCAGCTATATTACAGTTACATCACGGCGGCCTGTAAGTCATCAGGCCGGGCCTGGCAAAGTGGTTGGGCGCATGAGAAACGATATACCCTGCCAGAGTGTAATACTGCACAATCACCCAGCCACATATTGAATCCATCTGAGGCGCATGTCAGTCGACTCTTACAGCAAACATGGGTTGGGACTGCACTAACAACTGGTCCCAGAAATAATGTTATGTTATTTATAGATATATATCTACAAAATATGAAATAAAATCCAAATCAAGTCCTGGACAGGAGCTGAGGCAATATAGGAAGTCATTCTCTGGGTCTGGGAAACTTGGGGCCTGTTCTGCCCTGAATCACTAGTGATGCCCAACTAAGATGTTTCAATAAAATTTTAATTGTGTTGTACTGATATGTACGACCCTGGGTATGGGAGTATCAGGTCAGTGAATTATATCAATGTCACAAGACACCAGTGTCCGATTTTACTCCTTTCAAATAAATGTACATGGCACTGGTCCTTTCTGAAATCGATAGCTAATTGATGTCAAAGCTATAGTAACATCATACCTATGTTCTATTGTCCTCCTAAACCTGGCCTACTCATCCCCTATCAGTGACTGATGGGCGTGTATAGTGTGTACATTGCAGCAGTAACGCTATTGATTACGCTTGTTAATTTCATGAGGGTCACATGAAAGCTCCTGTGTTATCTCGTTGTTGACATCTAGTTTTGACATTGGCGTTGGCTGCAGGTATCACGAGGAGCTTGGTACAAGGGCTTCAGGCCATGGGTGGTGAAATTCACATCTTCCTCTCCTTTGTCCTTGGATGCTAGCAAAGAAATTGCTGTTTGATTGGCGGATGTTGATTTCAGGGGGTCACTGTGTCACATATTACAAAACTGTTGTCTTTCTAACCAGTTTCATTGGTTTACGGCATTGCAGTTCAAATTTGAAATTCATAGGATTAATGATAAAGCTTAGTTATAGAAATTTATACATTGTGAACAATATTTAGATATGAACAGGATTAGAAATTGGCACTGGTCCTATAGTCCTTGCCAAACTGCCCAATGGTAAAGGTATCATAAGGACCAGTAGAAATTTGCCATGTTTAATGGTTTTGCTATATGCTATCATTATAAGGACTATAGTGGTCTAAAACTGTTAGTTTCTATCCCTGATGAACTTTTGTGATAAAAGAATTATTTATGACCAAGTTGATCACTTTACACCAACAAAAGAAGAGTAAAAGAAATCCTTGAATGAAATAAGAAGCGTACTGAAAAATGTTTTAAAGAGAAGAAATAATAGGGATCTCAGCATTACTTCATGGGCTTTATGTAACCTAAACAACGTAGGCTGTATAGTATTCCTTTGAACCCAAAATAAAGAGAAAGACGATCTTTATCCACTTTCCTCAAAACAGGGACTGGTTCATGGAGGAGTCAAGGCCCCCACTGTCGAATTATTTCAGATATGTATCCATCCTTATTCATGCTGCGCAGCCTTGCTTGTACATATCTCAATCGACTCTGAAATCTATATCGCTGTCTAGGCAATATAAACTATGAGGAGGAAATAC